ACGGGTGCAAATGTAACAGTGCATGTTTAGGTATGTATGTATGTATGTATGTATGTATGTATGTATGTATGTATGTATGTATGTATGTATGTAGGTATGTAGGTATGTAGGTATGTAGGTATGTATGTATGTATGTATGTATGTATGTATGTATGTATGTATGTATGTATGTATGTATGTATGTATGTGTGTGTGTGTGCGTTCGTGCGTGCGTGCGTGCGTGAGTGTGTGTGTGTGTATGTGTGCGTGCGTGCGTGCGTGCGTGCGTGCGTGTGTGTGTGAGGGTGCGTTATCGTCTCTCGGCTATCGATGTCCCATCGTGTCCGCCTATCTATATATATCCGCTAAGGCAGATGCCTAGTCATTATTAGTGGAGTGCATTCTATATGGCTTGTAAACGGACACTCACCTCGTGTCTAGCATCTTTGATGTCAGTAAATAGATATGGGGAAATAGGAATAGGGCAGATAATGGAGAAAACATGATCACAGCGCTACAGGCATACGTGATGATTATCGCTTGAAATATTAATACTAATACTACTACTACTACTACTAATAATAATAATAATAATAATAGTCATAATAATAATAATAATAACAACAATAATTAAAGCAATTGTAATATTCCCGGTGCTATTTCCACAGGTGAAGGTTCTCTACTATGACATCAGAGGCAGCTTATTCGCTATCCAGATGGACGACATGTATTTCTACGTCGCCTCGGATCACGTCGGCACTCCGCAGGCTGTGCTTAGCTCAGGCCTCAGTGTCATCAAGGAGCTAACGACGGCGCCCTACGGAGAGGTAATCAGCCCGTATATATATATAACGATACACGATACACGTAGTGAGCATAAGACGTCACGTTTCGTTTTAATTATTAAAGTTAAGCGCGTTAAGACCTTATGTGGATAAGGTGTGTGTGTGTGTGTGCGTGCGTGCGTGCGTGCGTGCGTGCGTGCGTGTGCGGGCGCCTGCGTATGCGTATTTGTGTGTGTGTGTGTGTGTGCGCACGCGCGTGCGTGCGTGCGTGCGTGCGTGCGTGCATTTGTTCTTACAGCAAGATTTGACGGCTACCATATCTCTTACAGCACTCCGGAATGCAGAATCCTAGTCGCGTTATTATTTAGTGTTAACATTAAAACCAAACTCTGTTCTTATGGTATATCTTGTTTGCTACCATAGATAATCTCCGACAGCAATCCAGCGTTCACGATCCCTATCGGGTTTTGGGGTGGAATCCATGATCCTGTGTCCAAGCTCGTGTTTATTGATGGCCGCCCGTACGACCCCGTGATTGGTCGATGGATGTCACCTGACCAGAAGTGGGAGGAAGTAGCGGCAGATCCGCAGTTGGCTAATCGCTACAGATTCCAGAAGAGCAATCCCGTGAACAAGGACCGAGGAGGTGGCCGTTATCTGAGTGGTAGGTGTTGATTTACCTCGAGTTTTGTGATGTTTTAAGCATTATTACATCCAACCACTGGATTCACTAGTTCATTAGCTCGCGTGCTCGCTTCCTCACTGTTGCTACATAAAATCAGATGTAGCTGAGAACATTATAAACTGCAATTAATGGCTCACATACGTCAGTAACCTTTAAATCTCCGTCGGGCTTTACGAACTGTACTACGGTCACAAGTAATGTATAGCAACTGAGAAGGTTTATAGTGAGGCAACTACCCGTGGTAATGTTATAGACGTTTGCATCGTATAATACATACATTTCAATAATTCTCTAAGAAATATACCCATAATACAAACGGATAAATTATCGTTGATGTAAAGTAGAGCGTAACGCGCATCGCTATGCGATCTCTGTCTTCTGCAGAATGCAGAATCTTACCTCGCTAGCAACACTCCGCTGCTCTTCGTTTCAGACTTGGAGAGCTGGATGAAGGTATTCGGCTACGACACGGCGGTCGTGCGCACGCCCGTCGCGCCGACGCCGCACGCGACACCAGCCGACCCGACATCGCTGCGGCTGTCGAGCGGTCTCGCCTGCTCGCTGACCGCCTGCGGCATCGCGCTCGAACGCTACAGCTCAGTGCCGAAGTCAAAGGTCACCGAGCGCATGCATGCCGACTTCGCGCCGGCGCGCCTGTCGGCCGGCTCGGTGTTCGGCGACGGCATACTGCTGTCGGTTGCCGACGGCGTCGTCGTCGTCAACGCGCTGCCGGGCGCGCACAAGCAGGCGCGCGACGTCGCCATGGTGATTCTCAACGGGACGCTGCCCGTCGGCCTGCAGCTGACGATCCAGGGCATGGACTCGCACTTCCTCGTCAAGCCGCCGGGTAAGCAGGTCGCCGAGGATCTGTGGAAGCTGTCGATGAGCGGCGACTGGCTGCCGCTCGGCAACGGCATGAACGTCACCAAGCACGAGATCGGCGGCGACGGTGGCGGCTCCGGCGGCGGCGAGGCGAGTTACATCGACGTGCGTCTGCAGGGCGCGCAGTCTGTGATAAACGTGCGCTACGGCACGACGCTGGCCGCCGAGACACAGCGCGTGCGCAACTACGCGAAGCAGTGGGCCATCACTCAGGCGTGGGCGCGCGAGCAGAGCCTGCTGCACAGCGGCCACTTCGGCTCCTATCACTGGACGGAGGCGGAGAAGCGCGAGATCCTGCAGACGGGCGCGGCGGCCGACTACAGCGGACACTACCTGCGCGACGTCGGCATGTACCCGCAGCTCGCCGACGACTGCAACAACATCGTCTTCCGCAAGCGGCCGCCACTCGACAACATGCTCAGCGGCGTGTTGTAGTGCGCCCCTTGTTGGCCGGCGATGTCGCAGACGCGGGGAGCGGGAGGATGAAATTGGAAATGATGTCGCGTAAAATCTGTGTCAGTGACTACTGAACTAGTGGTTACTGCAGCAGCAGCAGCAGCAGCAGCAGCAGCAGTAGCAGCAGCAGCAGTAGCGGCGGCGGCGTGTGATGATCGCAGCGGCAGATAGATGGCGCTGGCAGATTGCTGGCGCAGACGATGCTCAGCGACACCTGTGCGAGTGCGAAGCGCAAGACTGCAGGTGGAAGACGCTGCATCAGGGAAGTGCTCCCTATATGTGGCAGCATCATGCGATGCGGACATTACTTAGAGTCTTTCAACGACATGCGTGCGTGCGTGCGTGCGTGCATGCGTGCATGCGTGCGTGCGTGCGTACGTGCGTGCGTGCGCGTGCATGTAAACTGATGACGTGTTAGACCCCCACAGCATCGTCTGTTTCCATAGTTACCTGCTGTCATATGAGAAATATTATTATAGAAGATACGATGTAGTCGCGGGCGCTGTATACATTCTTCACGGGTCTCCATCGACAGACACATGTATAAATATATTGCTGACGTTCGCTCCGTCGCCGCAAGGGGGAGCACACAACGACGAGTTTACTCAGTGGTGCCCCCTACCATGGTTCTCTCACGAGAGAAATGTAACGAGAAGAGCAAGGCGCAGCGTTCGTTGTAAGGCGGCCGGGAAAATGTATTTTCTCCGTTTATAGGAACTAGCTCTACCGCTTTATAGGAAGTCAGTCGTAATATATCTGTTCTCGTTGTACACGGCGTCGGTCGGCGTACAGAGAGACAGAGAGAATGGACACGATGGAGCGAGAGCGATCGAGACAGACAGAGAGAGCAATTGGAAGACTACTACAAACAACCTAATTAGAACCTGTTTCGATCGTTTTTCTTCGGCCGCTTTCGGCGGTCATTATTCTGTGTGCTATCTGCGTCGTTTTTTGAGGAGAAACTCTTTTGGAGTTACTGCACTTTTGTAAATAGAGCATCAAAACAACCGAGAATCGGTCGGAATATTTATTGTAAGATAATAAACTAAATTGTATGCGTGACGTTAGCATTTGGAGAAATGTAAATATTGGAATCATCGAAGCGGTATTGTAATGTTTAGTTTGTAGAGTTTGATTTATATCTGTATTATTTCGTATTTATCGGCTTGTAGTACATAAACGCAAACCACGTTTTCTCGTAAAGTATACAAAAAAGGACACTTCAGTTAAGTCAAACGTCTGACCCATCCTTTACAATTCCCCACACAGAAAATCATCACTATTAATTCTAATATTCCATTTTAAAATAATAGACTGCGACAAAGCAGTACTGTGCGTTTCTAAACTCGCTTGAATAAGGAGGGATCAGGCAAACCTGTAGACGAAAATTTGGGAGAATGAAAAGGGATATCAAAATAAAGAGAGATAGAGAGAGAGATAGAGAGCGCGCGCGAGAGAGAGAGGAGAGTGAGTGAGAGTCGGGTGTATATAATATAAATAGGTGTGGGGAAGCTGGAGGCATACATTTAATTCCGTTGTACTTACCAAAGGGAACCGTGGTATTGTTGTGTTCACAGCATCCTCTCGTATTGTGATTCCCACTTTCATTTGATGCTGCGTTATTTTTCTAGTCACGGTAGGCCGACCAGGCGAACAGGATGGCTTTGTAGAACGCACGCTTGTTCTGTGCACATCGTGTATTCGATGAAGACTGTACATGACAGTTGCTATACGGCTGAATCGAGTAAGGTGGCGCCACACACCACACCTCGGCAGGTAGCCGGGCATCTTGCCCTCTCCCCTTATAATAGAGTAAATAATACGCTCGCGCGTCCTTCTACAACTAGCTGTTAGAGAGCAAATTTGCATAGATTTTTAGTACTTTTCTATAGGTTATTTGAGGAATATTATTAGCAATAAACTATAGTCATCGAATATGAGTTTCAATATAACGTTGCTCTATGGATCCCTGATAGAAATGTGCGGGAAATTTCTTGCCCGCTAATCATAATCAGCCTGCTATTGATTTGAGTAATAATTAGGTTGTGCTGTATCGAAACCGTTTCAAATTGTGTTCTCCGGTCATTCTCCCAGCGGTGTTAGTGATTGCTGCCTGCATAATCATGTATTAGAATAGCGAATCACAGTAACCAGTGTAATCACGACAGCGGTGTAACGGCTGTAAGGTCGCGAGGTCTGCCCGCGTACGGCAAGGAGGAGGTTGTATATTGTATATTCATCGAAAACGTTTGTACTACGATATTTTTGCAATATTAGTATGTGCTGTTTGTTTACGTAAAGGATAAAGTAAAATGTTGTTACACTTTACATCTGTGTCCGTTTGTGTATTGACTATCTATAATATATCTGTCAATCTGCTTTACAGTTTACTGCTTACAATCTAACATCATGTCCCAACACCCTGAAGCTCGATGAAGCTATTTATCAAGTTGTCCGTCATTCATTTCTTCGTGACCCAATGTCTGTCTCTTGCAAAACATAAGGTATTTGCATCAAACAGCAGATTATCAACAATCGGTTTCGTTAAACACGGACCTATCCGGCATCGATGGTATTATTTGCCCACATACAGAAATTTGTACGAAATTAAAACCTGCTGCAAAAACTAGTCACACGTACGGAAGGAATAGTAGAGCGCATTACCATTAATACACGCACTTACTACAACACGAGTAAACGCACTAGTACTCCCTACGTCTAGATGTCCGATGACTAATCTTCTCTCACTCCTAGCCGTTGGTGTACGCATGTCAATGTATTCGTTATACCTATATACGCACTCGATCAGTTATTACCATCCAGCGTAGTGTTGATACTTATCACGCGTCGTTATTTGATCGTGAAGACTCTGGCAACGTCAATATTCACTTCTGCTGACATCGCAAATTCCCGTAGGGCACCTGGCGGTCTTTCAGAGAGCAACTCCATGACAGCAATTATTTATTATTTTAGCTGTCACAGGATCTGCTCACTGAAAGAACTATAGCAAAATGTTTGTCAGAAGTTATACGTTCGTGAAGGGTCGTCAGCACTCGTTGATTACACGTCCGCCGGGCGCCTGCGCACAAAGGCGTGTTTTGGACACGTGTTTTTGTCACGGACACGTTGACGTTCACAGTTGTGCGTGTCCACGCGCGCAGAGACACGTTTATGTTGAAGCTCACGCACTTACACGCACGCACACACGCACGATTAAGCTTACAATACGTTTACGGTAGCGATTCCCGTATTGAATCTGCATTCGTCAGCGAATTACGCTGGCACGCATACGACCCACACGAGTAGTATCACAATTCGCACACCGCTGCGTTCGCGTGGAAAGTCTCGGAATTTCGAGATCATCCTCCGACGAAGTTACTTGTCTCTACTACACACTGCAATCTCCTCGCAGCTTCACACTAATATATCCAGCTAATAGCCACCGACTGGGCACACAGCTGCTCAGCTATTACACACGATCAAGCGAAGGTTGTGCGGTCGGGTGCTGCCACACACATGCAGCAGCCTCATCACTACTACCTGGGTAATAAATACTCTGCCGCAGCAGAGCAGCACCTCTTACAGGCTTTTAAGCGTCCAAATCCGTCGCCTTGTTTACTCTTAAGCGAGCGAGCGAGACAATGGTCGCTGGAGAACCAACATACGACGTCCTCTGACAACGAGCGGAACGAAGGCAACGGGTTTTATCCAAACACGGGCTCTGTTTTTCTTCGTAATGCATTTTTGCGACAATGGAAGAAGACGAATCACAAACACGCGCGAACAGGACCCATCGCGAGGTTTGTCGACACGCCACTCTGCACAGACATTTGCATTTCTGGAAGATGAGAGAGAGAGAGAGAGAGAGAGAGAGAGAGAGAGAGAGAGCGATAGAGATAGAAGGGGGAATCGGTGTGCTTACCTAGAGCAATTGCACCGATGCGGGTAATGTTTGCTTTACATGTGCTCTTAGGTTTATGTGTGTGTTCGGCTATAGATTGAGCAGGTTACGCTACGATGATTATACGCTGACGAATTCACGACCGAACTAGTAAAAGATTGCGACCGAATTAAGATTTCATGCGCGTAGACCATGACCTACATAATAACATATTGTATCACACGCCTACAATATTATCAAGAGTAGGGGAAACCGGGGGTAAAGTGGACCGAAGAAATTCGGTTGGCCAAAACGCTGTGAAAGAGCGAGACAAAGTGAAATGTTTGGCTCTAATCCTTTGGCGTAGGACAAGCACTAACAGGCGGTACAAACAAAGTTAATCTAATAAACGACTATTGAAATATACAAAATTATAAAAGTTATTAATATTTCATTTTGCCCCAGACTCCCGGGGCAAAGTGAAACCTGTTATGGGGCAAGGTGGAATGTCATTTTACTCCATGTATATTGTGTCAAAAATGTTGCGTCCTCTTTCAGTGTCCAACTCTGAACATCAAATTCATAGTTGCGTACCATTTTGCCTAAAATATGAAAGAAAAATGCAATTATAGGACGCTTATACAATATGTAAGTCTATGGCCAATGTTACCGAGTTAGGTGTTAAAATGATGCAAAGACAGGCATATACCTGCTACTGAGAGTACTAATTAAGATCATAATAAATAATCTGATAATAATGAAATACATCTAGGCCTATCAAATATGGCCGGGGCAAAGTGGAACTGAGAGACTCTATTATGTAGGGCCTACTCTTGATATTATCAACAGTTACGAATACATTATTACACTATGTATTATATTATAAGCCCTTGATATTACGTGTTACTAGTGCACTTGTTACGACAGATATTGTATTGCTAGACGCTCAGGTTAGTGGGGCGGATATGTGACATTTTTTACTTAAAGTGTGTACTTCTGGAAAGAAGCATGAAAATTTGCTCTAGGGGGGTTTTGAGTATGCTGATTTCAAAAATTGCGGGAAACACGATGTCACTCCAACGGTTCCCGCCAAAAAATA